TAAAAAAAATAAATACAAAATTATTAAAAAATAAATAAATGTTTAAAACATTTTTAAAAAAAAATGTAAAAAAAAAAACTAATAAAAAAAAGACAACCCCTCCCTCCCCCCACATAACACACATATTGTGGTGCACACCATGCACATGCGCTGCAGTGCGTTGTTAGAACGCATCGCAGTGCATGATCTTCTTTTTTATATTTTTTTCTTTAAAAAAAACCATTAAATTAACTGTGGCAGCGCATGGCAAAGCTTTGTGACTCATTGCCATGCGTTGTGATACCTTGTGTTGCAATTAAATATACACCTGTATCATTTTATCACAACACAAACACCAAAACAATTTTTTACATAAGTCGATTATTTACAGTTTTGCACACCTTCATTTTTTTACCTTTTCGCAAAAAGGCGCAATTACAAATTTGCTAATATTTGTTATTTACTCAATACAGTTATCTTTTAGATTTAGTCAGAAAATAATTTATATTGTGCACGGATACTGATTTTGGTGTGTTTTTAACAATTGAATTGTGTATTTTTATCGGTTTAATATTAATTTGAGAAACATTTGCGCAATTATCGCAGGGCCTACAAATTTAGTATCACCATCTTTTTATTCTACCGGGCCTGCGCTTTCAGAAAATATATGGTTTGGGGGGTCTTTTACAAACGCTAGTAACGCAGCAGTTGAAAATCAAACCAATAGGAAAAAATTGCAGAAAATTCAAAAATGGCTTGGCCAGCTGATTTGAAAAATGTTCCGGAGGGCTTGGCAGCGAAAGGGTTAAGGCATCCCCTTGAAGGTTCAGTGTGCTGTGCACTCAGAAATATACTTCTGCATCTTACTTACTAAAAGGATTCATGCTGCTTCTGTCAAATTTTGACCATGGTACAGCAGATTTTGAGGTAAATCATACCAGGGAATGTTTTTTTGCAATCTCGGCTTTGCTAATCTTTGCCCACTATAGCCTCATTTTCTGTTGGCTAACAGGAAGGTAACCTGGTTGGGTCTTCTGGTGCTGGAACGTCCTCCTGAAGGTTCGGTATATTGTGCCTTTTAGAAATATCCTTCTGCATCTTGCTTACTACAAGATGGATTCATGCGGCTTCTGTTAAATTCTGACCATGATATGGCAGATATTGAGGTCCATCATACCAGGGAATGGTTTTGCAGTCTGAGGCTTGCTAATCCTGTGGCCACTATAGGGTCCCTTTCCCATTCTTCGTTACCTGGAAGGTAACTTGGTTGGGTCCCCTGCTGCTGGAGCGTCCTCTTGAAGGTTCATTTTAGTGTGCATTTAGAATTTATCTCTCTGCATCTTGCTGTTCTAAAAAGCAATGATTGGAGCCGTTGTGGTTCCAATCAGCTTGAGCAAGCCTGGTTTGACCTTTTTAACCAGGTGTTTACCTGCACAGTACTTGCCATATTTTTCGTTTTATCATTCTCGGCAAGCTTGAGTCTCTTGGTGCTTGGAAATCAGAAGTGGTCAGCAATTTCTAGGATGCTGCAAGCACTCTGTCTGTCGCTAGCAATTATTCATCGGTCAAAGTTGGTTAGATCATTCATCTTCCTCTTTCTATTGTTAGAGCCGTAACCGAACCTTGTGACTATATCTGCATACTTTATGTATTGATCTGCAGCCACATGATTTACTGTTTGCAGGTTCTTTCTGTCAAAAAAAGTCTAAACTCTTATTTTTTTTTTTTTCCCCCCTAGAATGACTAGCTAAAATTGGAACAGATTTTAAAATACTGAAAGTAGTAATCTCAATTTTTTGGTGTCAATAATGAATCCAGATCAGACAATTGTATACATTGCCATTGGTCATCATGTGGCCAATCGGCTCCAACTCTCTCAGCTCCCTGCAAGGGAAAGGAGCCCCCCTAAAACAGGATATCGGGGCCAGTGCTCAGGTGGACCAGCTGACTCTGAAGGAGACCAACTTTTAGACATCAAAGAGCAGCGTCCATTGTAAGTGATTTTAATCAGCATTTGAAATTACCTAAAATCCGTGTGTGTGTGTTAATTGCTTTCCGTTCCCTATAAACTTGCATCTCCACAATATGAACATTTGAACCTGGCTTAATTTCCTGTCTGACACCCATTGTTCCTCATACACATGATGATTGATTGTAGGAGGAGGAGAGGGTATGTGCAGTTACTGTTAGTTACTGCTCTCCAATGGAAGAAGAGACTGAGAACTGACGAATCGATGGTTACTCAGGCCAGGTTCACACTTGCGCGATCTGTGATTGCGTGACAATCGTGCACGAAACCGCGCGGATTGCCCTCTGGTCAGTCGCACACCACCACTGATCGCACTGGGGGTGCCATTCTTTTCTGATGGCACCCCAGTCGCGCCGGGTGGATCGTGTTTGTTTTTCCGCCGATATTCCACTCGTGCAAACTAACACAAAAAAAGCCGCTCGTCGCAAACACATGTACCCTTTTTTTCAGCGGTTTGCTGCGTGGATGTACCCTATTGAAATCAATGGGGCACAACAGCAACCGCTATGTGCAAGTGCACCCGATCACACGGTCCTGGGACACGCATCCCAGGATAGCCCAGGTCTGCACCAGCCCTCAGCCGGCGTCTTCCCACCGACAGTGTGAGACACTGCAGTGGTCGGAGTACATTTTACTCTCCCCGCTCTTTTTAATTTTTAGCAAATTGTGTTTTAAAGGTTAAAAGGTGCCTTCTTTACAAATATAAACTCACGCGCATATGGTTTTACTTGTAGAAGGAAAGCGAACAAAATTTAATGCTTGCTATGGATTACCTAAGCACGGTCCCAGATCACCCCCAGGTCACCTTTTTCACTGGTAACTGCAAAGTATCAAAAATAACCAGGGGGTTAAATGTGGGTCCACCTTGCTTGTAAGCCATCCTTGGTCTGCTAGACCATGTATTTAGCTGGCAGGCTGTTATGCATCCTCCATTTTATATTTATTTCCTTGCTCCCAAAAAGACTAAAATACATAAAATCATAATTCAGTTTGCATTTTGGACAAAATGTCAGCTCACCACCTGGACCCAAGGGTCTTGTCTTGTGGGCCTTACACATCAGAGTACAAAAAACGGATCTTTTTACGGGTTAGCTGTTGTACGTCCAGGTGACACTTTTGATTGACTAACGAACATACTAAAGTACAAAAAGCAATTCAGTTGTGAACAAATTTTGGCTTTAGGTCTAGGATTAGAATTGGAAGATGGTCTGTGGGTAAAAGCAAACCCCCCCATTTTAACGCTGTCCTTTGTCTTTTTGTCTCCTGCAGTATTACGGAGCCAAAATCAAGCGATCTGATTACTGTGACGTTGTGGCTACAATCCTCATCCTCGTGAGACCGTATATCATGGATTTGAACTCGCTTTGCAGCCGTTGAAACCCACCGCTCCTACAGGACAGTTGCTGGCAAAGGTCATGGCCTCCTTCACGCCATGGAAGCTGTCCTCCCAGAAGCTGGGCTTTTTTCTGGTGACTTTCGGCTTCATCTGGGGCATGATGTTGCTTCACTTCACGATCCAGCAGCGGACTCAGCACGAAAGCAGCACCATGCTCCGCGAGCAGATTCTGGATCTCAGCAAACGCTACATCAAAGCCCTGGCGGAGGAAAACAGGAACGTCGTGGACGGCCCATATGTCGGCACGATGACAGCATATGGTAAGGACGAAAAAAAAAAGTGCATGCTTTGCATCTACTTCTGAGAGAATCGATGACATTCGTATATAAAGGCCGTGTTTGATGGCTGATTTTTTTACAAGAGCCAGCGGGTTTCAATTCATCTGCTGGCTTTTTAGATACAAAGCAAATTAGGAGTTTTAATTGGCCCATCTGGCTGAGGAGGATGAGGAAAAGAGCTTTAAAGCTGAACTCGAGCAGACATTTTATAATATTGGTGTAAAGGTGCGTTCTTACCTTAAACAATTTTCTTATTGCGTTCATGCATGGGTATCCAGGCACTGAAGTCACTTGTTGATTCATTCTTTAACCACTTCCCGGGCCGCAATATGTTTATAGACGTCGGCTCGCAGAAGTGGTTAAAACAAGAACACGGCTGGTTAGGTTGAGGTGGGAGAGGCTTCCCCCGAAGAGATGAGTCTTTGGGGATCGCCTATAGGCAGTCAAAGTGGGAGATAGACGTACAGGTTGGGGGTAAAGTGTTCCAGAGGATGGGAGAGACTCTAGAGAAGTTCTGGAGGCGAGCATTGGAGGAGTTGACAAGGTAGCTGGAAAGCAGGCTTGCATAGTTATAGTATTTGAGGCTGAATAAAGACCCAGGTCCATCAAGTTCAACCTATCGCGTGTATGTATGGGATTCTGCATGTGTGACATGCGTTTTCCATGCTTGAGGGACACGGCAGTTTTGACCTACAACTCTATTCTTTAGTGATGCAGCCAGTGTCCACTGAGCATAGCAAGTACTTATGGGAGATACTTCAAAAAGGAAAATTGCATTGTGTGTGATTTTTGCTATTATGACCTTGCCTTTTTACGGTCGGTCTGCACGGATTGAATCATTTGAGTGAGCGCAAGCCATTTTACTGTGGAAATAAAATTATGAAGCGGAAGCTTTGCTTTTCCTGTTGACAGCTATATGAATACAAGTGGAGTTCAGATGCAAACAGTCGGGTCTTATGACTGCCTGGCCTCCCCAGCAACCAGACAGCATGTGCTACGTGGAGTGTATTCATTCCTCCCCGCTGTCTGCCTCCCATCTCAGTGCACATCAATGGGATCCGACCTAGAGAATAATAGCCGAGCTCTCTGCCTATGCTTAAAAACAAAGTTTATTTATTTTATATTTTTTTCTATAGTTTTAAAAGGGTTAGTTTATATTAGTTTACTAAATATATTTCCTTTTGGCTAGAGTTGTGGGGTTTTCTTTTCTGTTTTTTGGGACACTATCATGCGTCCAGAGTTGATGATGGATTCCTAACTGCATGTAATCATATCGCATATGATTGGATGGAGTGTCAGCATTCTGCCGCTCTCACATACAGCCGCTGTCAGCTGATTATTAACCTGAACTGGTGACAGTTGCCACTCCGCAGAATCAGCTGGTCCCCTGAGCACTGGCCCTGATATCCTGTTTTAAGGGCCCATTCGCACAACACCCCGATCATCTCAAGACCAGATTTGTTTCCAGACCCACAATGCATCCCTATGCTTTTTCTGGCCTCTGTTCAAACCAGCGCAATCCATTCTGGTCTGGAATGCACTGGAACGCATATTTAACACATGAAAAACGCATGGAACTCACCCGAGAGCCCATTTTAAGCTAAAAAAAACCAGCCCGGGAACACAGCAAAATCGTGATGCGCTGCATTCCAGATCTGGTCTGGGAAATGGTGTGAACCCAGCCGTTCTTGCGTTCCAGTGCCTTCCAGACACAATGAGACGTGCAGTATTCTTCTGGTCTCGGAACAGACTGCTGGTGTGAACAGAGGCCAGAAATAACATAAGGATACATTAGGATGCATTTTGGGGCTGGAAACAATCTGGTCTGGATGTGGTGTGATTGGGCCCCTGGGGTGTCTTCTTACCCTTGCAGGGTCCTTTATCCACAAACACAGGTACGGCAAGACACTCCCCTGCTCCCTTCTCCTCCCTCCAGCCTTCTCCAACCTAGTAGATGGACGGCTGCTGGAGACTGTGGACTCCCTTATGATCTTGTACTCAACAGGAAGTTCAGGGTAGCCGAGCTGAGAGCTGGAGCCCGCGATTCTGAAACTGTACACAGACAACTGTAATTGGTTGTGCAAAAATACTAGATCTAAAGAAATACTTTGCTGGTCAATGTCTGTTTGATTTGGATTCAATATTGAAAAAAAGTGAGTTAATACCCCTAGAAGTCCTATTTCCCCGGTTGCGCAGGCTTCCCTTGCTCCTCCGCCATGCTGTTTGGTTGCCAGGGACAAGAAACGTGAAAAAAAACAAAAACCCCTGGCATGGACAAAGCCTAATTTTTTTCGGGTTTTGGCTTTTCCTTTTGGCTTACCTCCCATTGCAAGGAAAGAAGGTGAAAGTGTAATTTTGAATGCGTCCTGTTTTATTTTTTTTAATCAGCTCCGCATCTTTATACCATATGCTTAACGAGAGCGGAGTCTAAATTCTTCCAGCGCTGCCAGACTCCGCACACCTCTATCCACTCTTTAGTAGCCCAGGACTTTGGCAGGGACTCTCTGCAAAGTGTTTCCCAGTAGTGATCTTTGGTATTAATAACGAGTGTTTTTGCCAAAAAGGAAAGAAGTTCTTGAAGCGGAGTTCCAGGAGAGTAACACTTTGGACGTGAGATCTACACCGTTTCCACAATATATTTCCCCCTCTGCTCTGTTACTATAACATACTGTTTGGCCTGTGTGTGTGTTTATTTTTAGTCTGACTTTGGAAGCCTATGGCTGTTGACGGATTGCAGGCACCGGTATGACCGACCTACCTGCCAACAGATGGCAAGGCGTGCTGGGAGGTCCGCTCACCCAGCTTTTCTTAATGCTCAGTGGAAAATGCTGGAGCTTCTAATGTCGTTTTTCCTACCTCTGTTTTTAAAGTGGGGAAGAGACTGCTAGTTTTGGGGATTTTCTAAACTGGGCACCCCAATCTTCATTTAAAGCATTTTTGCACCCTTTTTTTTTTTTTTTTTTGGAGTCCATCCATAACTGGTGCTGGAAGCATTACTACCACCAAATATATTTAAAGCGTCGCATCATCTTGTTTTTATTGCCATCCTTCCGGTAGATTGCACTGCACTTCCTGTCCCGGTGACAACTGTCATGGGAACAGGTAACAGGAAATTTTGTGGATCCAAATAACGAGTTAACATAGCATTAAAAGCTCCCATTTTTTTTCCACTTTTGCAGAGGTATTTTTAAAAAAAAGTACATATGCCAGCAATGTACACCGAGTGTACATGAAGCGGGCATATGCCGTTGCTGTATATGAACACAAACATTTTGTTAGCTGCCCTCCTACATTTCCTCATGGTTCTTTTTGAAATGGCCACCTCCGTGCTCTGCCGGCAGTCTGTGTAAATTTCAGGCTGCTGTGCACAGTGGAATTACAATGTAGGGTGTGGAAAACGGTTTCCCACAATGCAATGCTTCCCTGTGAAAACTGAGCTCTATGCGCCCATTCATTAATCTGAGTGGCAACCCCTTCCCTTCCTGAACAGTGTTTTTGTTGGGCGTTTCCATTGGGATACAGCCAAGTAGCCCTCGGAAATGCGCGTTTGTCGCCGCGAATCGCGGTAAAAAAAAACGTGCAACAGACGGGCATATTCAATACGCCTAGGTGTGAACCCAGCCTGAGTATTTCACTTGCACAGTGCACTAGTGACAGCGCAGGCTCCAAGTGCTGTCAGTCATTTACTTGGAGGGGGGGGGGGAGCAGGGCAGTGGTTTGCTGCCAGGTCTATCTGTTTCTGTGGACGCCCGGAAGCCACCTGAAAACCGGAATTGGGGAGCAGAAAAGGAAGTCAAAGCAACCACAAACTTAAAATGAAAAGACGACATGCAAACATGGCAAGTGCAAAAGGGCTGCAGTACTGTATGCTCTTCTTCTTCTTGTTCTTCTTGTTCTGGTTCTTGTTCAGGTTCTTGTTCTTCACTCTTCCTCACACTAAAGTGTCTTTATTGCTGCATGCTTTTTTCCTAATACAAGTCAATCGGTGCACAGATGTCAGAGGCACTTGTGAAGGAACTTGGAGAGATCTAAGACGCGTCCAAGGGCTTAGTTGGGCAAATGCAGCCTGCTTTTGACATCCACTTTAGTCTAGGTTCAGACCCCCCCAACCCCCTCCATTGTTTTCAATTGGTTTACATCCGCATGGCAATCGCAAAAAAAAATACTAGTACCCTTTTTTTTGTTGCCGCGATTGTGTTTAATTGCACGGGCGGGAAACCGCGCCATCCGCCCTGGCGCAACTCGGGTGCCATTAGAAAATGGCACCTCCAGCACAATTGGCTGTGGTGGGCGACTCGGTAAACACCCCGCAATCCGCGCGGTTTTGTGTACGATTGCCGCGTGGTCAGGAGTCGCCCAGGAGTGAACCTAGCATGACTCTCTTTTGAGATCATAATTCATTGGGTGGTGGCATTAACCTGCTTTGGCTGTTCTTTCACAGCACAGGTTCATTTTGATCACCCCCCCTCCCCCTTTCCCAACCCACTGCTCACAAGCACCCTATGTGATTGCAATTAAGTTGAGAAAACAATAGGCTGAAAAAAGCCCCAATTTATTTAAAACATTTTTTTTTCTTGGGTCCCCCGCTCCTCACACAATGCCAAACAAATGAAAGAGTTGGCTGCACTATGTACTAAAAAGGCGATTGAAGAGACGTTTGCTATGGCTACTCATGACAGTGAGAGCAGTAACTCTAGGCCTGGGCTGGGCAGCTCTGGCCCTCCAGTGTTACTTTAATTACAAATCCCAACACTTGAAAGTGGACCTGTGAAAGTGTTTCCTGTTGGGCTGTACATATAATCCCGAGCTTCTCTTGTGTACAAGCCCTGCCTGGCACTGATACAAGGTGCCGACTTGGTAGTCCTGGAGGAAGAAGAGGAGGGGTTAAATATTACATTTAATGGGAAATACAGCTATCCTCGCAGTGAGTGAATAAACACTTTCAGATGAATCGCTCCTGCCAGAAATGTCATCTGAAGGAG